TACACTTCCTCAGCCCTGCCACCAATCAGTGTGATTCCATGGACAGAGGCAGAGGCAGTGGCAGCCCACTGGTCATCACAATGAAGGTGTGGGGAAAAGTAAAATTGTTCAGTGTCAAAAAGAGGAATAGTTTCATCCACAGGAATGACACCAAACGATATGCATTTGTATACCAGCCTGCCATAAAGAAGAGTTACCCCCAGGAAGCACCACCCCAGGAGGTAGAGAAACTATAGAATTTGATGTTATTGATGGAGAAAAGGGTACAGAGGCAGCAAATGTTGTAGGCCCTGGTGGATTTCCAGTGTCAGGCAGTAAAAACCCAGCACAATGTAACCATTATAAACATTATGGGGGTCCTCTGTGTGTTTACCAGCAAAATTACTTGAATAAAGACAGTGGAGAAAAGGAGAGATTATAGATAGTGCCCCTAAACACTAGACCCAACTTCATGTACACCTTTCCCCATATGGAGACCCCACTATGGGTGTTGTTGAGAGTATTCCAATCTTGTCTAAGGAGGAATGATGGGGGTGCTAATAATTAGGGTGAATGAGAACAAAGTAGACCAGGAAAAGAGGTCACCTATTGGGAATATAGACCACGACCCAGAGCCCCTCTTCATTTAGGACAGCAATGAAGAGGAACAGAAAAATCAATAAGAGACCCAAGGTCAGCAGGCACTTCAACATAGGTGCCCCCAAAACTTTAGTTACCAACATAGACACCCCCAAACTAACTGCAAGATGGCAAGAGACCACAGTTGGAAACTCATCTCTGAGGCCGAGCAGGAAGAGGGTAAGTGAGGACTTGCAATCTGTACTATCATGCGAGTTACATGCCCAAAATAGAAAATGAATATGAAGTTTTAGCAATAAGACCTGAACCAAATGATTGGTACTGAAGACTTTAAGTGTTTGCTCTGTGTCCATTAATCAGACAAGTAGAACCATCTGCATTATGGGTTTTTATTTTTTCTAAAGACACCTCTTTTTGGTAATGACCAACATGTTTTTTTAAAGTCTGTTTTTTTCATATACCTTTAAAGCTTTGAAAAATTGTTTCATATCTGGTCAATTTGATGTTATTAAGAACCTGATTTTGGACTTCCAGTCAAGATGGAGGTGTAGGTGGAAATACTGTACTTCCTCACACAACCAAATTTAAGGACAACAAAGATTTAGAAACAAAAACATAAGCAAAACAGACAGAAAATTGAACAGCACTGAAGTCTGGCAACAACAAACCATTCATCAAGATCAGTAAGAGGGGCGGAGTCAGCAGCCAGCTGGCAGAGAGGGGTCCTGGCAGGAAGAGGCTGTGGTTAGCAGACCAGGCGGGCATGGGGCAAAAACCCAGTAAGGCTCACAAGGTAGCTGGCTGACCACAGACACACATTCATGTGTAGATAAACCAGGCAGGTTTAAAAATGGTCAGCGAGACAGACTGTGCAACCCAGGGCCCCAGAAATGGGAAATAAAGCCTAAAAGCACTGACTACAAAAACTTTTGGGGGTTGAAGTGCCAGGAGAGGCTCCCAGCCTCACAGGAGAGTTCACTGAAGAGACCTACATGGTCCTAGAATGTACACAAGCCCACATACCTGGGAACCAGCACCAGAAGGGCCCAATTCACTTGTGAGAAGTGGCAGAGGGAACCAAAATCCAAGAGAGTGGAACAAACGCCATTGCTCCCTCTCTGACCCTGCCCCCAGTCACAACCCAGCAACTGGGTAGACCCCCCTGGTGAACACATAAATCTCCACCCCTCATACATAACAGGCGTGAACAGACCAAAACATTATAGCTCAAGCAGAAGAACAGCTCAAAGCCCCAGAGCCAATACTTCTAAGTGACAAAGTGATAGCCAACCTATTGGATGCACAGTTCAAAACACTAGTGATCAGGATGCTCACAGAACTGGTTGATTTTAGTCGCAGATTAGGTGAAAAAATGAAGGCTACACTAAGTGAAATGAAGGGAAATGCACAGAGAACCAATAGTGATGGAAAGGAAACTGGGACTCAAATCAATCGAGTCGACCAGAAAGAAGAAACAAACAAACAAACAGAAAAGAAAAGAATGAAGAAACAAGAATTCAAAAAAAATGAGGAGAGGCTTAGGAACCTTCAGGACATCTCTAAACGCTCCAACATCCGAATTAAAGGGGTACCAGAAGGGGAAAAGGAACAGCAACAAGTGGAAAACTTATTTGAACAAATAATAAAGGAGAACTTCTCCAATCTGGCAAAGGAAATAGACTTCCAGGAAGTGTAGGAAGCTCAGAGAGTCCCAAAGAAGGTGGACCCAAGAAGGAACACACCAAGGCACATCATAATTACATTAGCTAAGATTAAAGTGAAGGAGAGACTCCTAGAAGCAGCATGAGATAAGGGGACAGTCACCTGCAAAGGAGTTCCCATCAGACTGTCAGCTGATTTCTGAAAAGAAACCTTCCAGGCAAGAAGAGACCTTCCAGGCAAAGAAGTTTTCCAAGTCATGAAATCCAAAGACCTACATCCAAGATTGCTCTACCCAGCAAAGCTTTCAATTAGAATGGAAGGGCAGATAAAGTGCTTCTCAGATAAGGTCAAATTCAAGGAGTTCATTATCACCGAGCCCTTATTCTATGAAATGTTAAAGGGACTTACCTAAGAAAAAGGAGTTAAAAAAGATAAACAGTGAAAGGACAGCAAACTCACAGTTATTAACAACCACACCTAAAACAAAAGCAAACTAAGCAGACAGCTAGATCAGGAGTGGAGCCACAGAAATGGAGATCACATGGAGGGTTAGCAACAGGGGAGTTGAAGGAGGAGAAGGCGGAAAAGGTACAGGGAATAAGTAGCATAGATGGTAGGTAGAAAATAGACAGGGGGAGGTCAAGAATAGTATGGGAAATGTAAAAGCTAAAGAACTTAAGACACATGGACATGAACTAAAGGGGGGTTGTGGGGGGAGGAAGTGTGCAGGGTGGAGGGGAATGAAGGGGGGAAGGGACAACTGTAATGGCATAATCAAAATAAATTTAAAAAATAAATAAGACTTAAAAACAAAACCTGATTTTTTTAAGATTTTTGTTTATTTATCTTTAGAGGGGAAGAGAAGGAGAGAGGGAGAGAAATAGCAATGCATGGTTGCCTCTCACACATCCCCTACTGGGAATGGGCCTGCAACCCAGGGATTTGAACCACAATTCTTTGGTTCTCAGGCCCACACTCAATCCACTGAGCTACACCAGTCGGGGCCAAAACCTGATTTTTAATTTGTAATGAAATTTTATATAGCAGAACAATTTACAATAGCCAAGATTTGGAAGCAACCTATGTGCCCATCAGTAAATGAATGGATCTAAAAACTATGGTACATTTACACACTGGAATTCTATGCAGCAGAAAGAAAGGAGGAGCTCCTACCCTTTTTGACAGAATGGATGGAGTTGGAAAGCATTATGCTGATGGTGTTGAAAGACATATACCATATGATCTCACCTTTAACAGAAACCTAAACAACAAAACCAACAAGCAAGCAAAATATAGCTGAAGACATTGAAATAGAGAACAGGAGGACAGTGACCAGAGGGGAGAGGGGAGGGGATTTCAGGGGAAAAAGGGGAAGGATTTACAGGAACTAGTATGAAGGACACATGCACAACAACTAAGGGGGGTGGAAATGGGAGGGAGGTAGGGAGCACTGGGAGGGTGGGGTGGGATGGGAGTAAAAGACAAAAAACTGTACTTGAACAACAATTAAATAAAAAAACAGCTGGAAAAAATAAAAAATAAAAATAAAGTAAAATTTAATAGCTTGATTTTTCTCGCAAAAGGCAGCAAACTGCAAGTATCTAATAATACAAGTCAAAATAATAATAACAACAACAACAATAATAATAAAGCAAAACAGAATTTGGCTTAAAGAATTAACTTTTCCTCAGATTTTATATTGTTTCTTCTTTGACAATGTCTTGTGAGTTCTCATGTGTCTTGGTGATAAGAGACATTATAGAACGTATACATAGAATATAGTAAGTACTGTTCATTCGTTTTCTCATGTAAGTTCTTCAATGGCAAAATGACATGGGGGAACACTTTACCCTTTTATCTTTTGCTATTGCTAGCAAAGAATGAATGTAGAGTGACATCTGAATTTTTCCTCTTAAGAGAGAAGGTATAGAAAGTGGTAGTGCTTTATGTATTTTTCATATTTCATTCACTTTTCCTTGAGCATGTGTGACTCATCCAGGACTCCTTCCTCACTCATGGAATTGAAAGCTTATACACAACTCTTTTTGTGGGGAGAGGGGTTCTTAATGGGAAAACCCTACTAAGAAGAAATGAGACTTAAATACTTGCAGATAATTATTTTAGTAATATCATAGCCACAGGCACAAAAAGTTGGCTCCACAGTGCCTAAATCATGACTGCAAAAATGTGCACTGTGCTGTTTAGCTTCCCAAGGGATGCAGTTACTTTCTCCATGAGACCCAGTCCTTGAAATGAACTAAACAAAAGCATTTATTTTTATCTTCTTCCTCTGGTATATGGCAAAGCAAATTGCATTTGTTGCAGCTAGAAATTTGTGCAGCCTGGGTCCTTGTTTGCAGATGGCAGCAGGGCTGGCCTCAGGGCTGCTGCTGGTACAAATAATCAAAGAGCTCAAAGGTTTTGTCCTCAGCAGGAACCAAATTGTTTCTTATCATCCCAACTTCCTTCACCAAAAGCATGAAAAACAAGATGTAATCAGTAGTTGAAAGTACTCAATGCCATAATAACCAGGAAACAGACTGTCCTTTCTTGTCTTCCTAATGGCTGAGGGACTTAAAAGTAGATGGATGCATAACCCTTTTGAGAGACTGTGCAGTTGCTCCTAAAGTGCACACCCTGTACCTGGACTCTAAGATGACTTCTGAGTTTCTTAGTTGTTGCAAACCACCCATGCCTTTATTTCCACACTTTCTCTGTCCTTCCACAGTCCTGATGTGTTTTTTTCCACTTTGTTTCAGGGCTCATCGTCGGGGTGATTCTGAGGTATGGCACCCCTTCCACCAGTGGCCATGACAAGTCACTCAGCTGCACTCAGGAAGACAGGGCCTTCAGCACATTATTAGTCAATGTCAGTGGAAAGTTCTTTGAATACACCTTGAAAGGAGAAATCAGCCCTGGCAAGATCAACAGTGTAGAGCAGAATGACATGCTGAGGAAGGTGAGCTGGGACACTGAGTGGTTGTTGTCCTGATGTGGTGTTTGTTTTCCTATTTGGTCTCAAACATATAGAGAGAAATTACTTCAAACTCCTGGAGCATAGATAGCATTCTTGCTTCTCAGTTTTGCTAGGAAGCTTTTGGGCTATGATGTGGAAAAGAAGGAAAAAGATTTGAGTTTGAGCCTTTCAGTTTTGCTAGGATCAGAAGCTGATTTGGGTCACTGATGGTGCAGTAGGTTTGTACATCCCCATTCAGCTCATATCTCCAATCCTTTTTCTTTTCTGTATCTTTTGTTATGATTTAGGGATGAGCTTGTTTCTTTCCTAAGATTTGTTTCACTTTCAGACTGTTTATTCAATGTTCAGAACTAATTCTTAATCCTCCATGGTTCTATTGCCATACCCTATAAATACTTGTTGAGTGTACCCTCTCATTGGTGATTGATAACAAAGGCTTATTCTTCAGAGGAGAGATGTCTTCTTGTCTTGGAATTTTAGTCCAAATATTGATTTTCATTTGATGTTGGAAGTAGCTAAAATACTCCACAGGAAAAAGGATTATGTCACCTTACTTGGGTGATTTCCAGCATAAGCAAGAGATTCGTATTTATCATCATATATTCCATTACCTTATAGATCTGGTGTTACCAGCAGGAAGGCTTCTTGGTAAAGTCTGAGGGATCCAAGTTGTGGAAGCCCCTTTTAATATGGAACAAGATTAATGTGTGTGAAGGCTTGCAGTCAAAGATACAATGTGGCCCTTACTCCAAAAGTTAAATTATAATTAATCTCAAGATATATCCTAATTCTTTTTTTAATTTATTTTTTAATTAATTTTTTTATTTAGTTATTTTTTAAATTTTTTTAGTTATTTTTCAAGTACAGTTTTTTGTCTATTTCTCCAATCCCAGCCCACCCCGTCCCGTGCTTCCCACCTCCCTTCCATTTCCACCCCCCTCAGTTCTCGTCCCTGTGTCCTTACTATTTGTTCCTCCAAATCCCTCCCTTTTTTTCCCCTTAAATTCCCTTCCCTCTCACCTCTGGTCACTATCCCCTCGTTCTCTATTTCAGTGTTTTTGTTTTTATTCAGCTTGCTTGTTTGTTTTGTTGTTTAGCTTCCTGTCAAGAGTGAGATCACATGGTATTTGTCTTTCAACACCTGGCCTATTTCACTCAGCATAATGCTTTCCAGTTCCATCCATGTTGTTGCAAAGGGTAGGAGCTCCTTCTTTCACTCTGCTACATAGAATTCCATTGTGTATATGTACCACCATTTTTTGATCCATTCATTTACTGATGGGCACCTAGGTTGCTTCCAGCTCTTGGCTATTGTAAATTGTGCTGCTATGAACATTGTGGTGCATAGGTTCTTTGAAACTGAAGTTTTAGGATTCTTAGGATATAATCCTAGCAATGGAATTGCTGGGACAAAAAGCAGGTCGATTTTTATTTTTCTGAGAAAATTCCATACTGTTTTCCATAATGGTTGTACCAGTCTGCAATCCCACCAACAGTGAACTAAGGTCCCCTTTTCCTCACACCCTCTCCAACATTTGTTGCTTTGTTTATGATAGCCATCCTGACTGGTATAAAGTGGTATCTCATTGTGGTTTTAATTTGCAACAAATTAAAGCTAACGATATTGCTTTAAGAGATGCTCTGATAACTAAGGATATTGAGCATCTCTTCATGTGTCTCTGGATGTTCTGTATGTCCTCCTTGGAGAAGTGTCTGTTCAAGTCTTTTTCCCATTTTTTAATTGGGTTGGTTGTCTTCTTAGAGTGGAGTCGTGTAAGTTTTTTGTATATTTTGGAGATTAAACCTTTGTCTGAGGTATCATTGGCAAATATGTTTTCCCATACAGTTTGTTGTCTTGCTAATTTAATACTGTTTTCTTTAGCCACGCAGAAGCTTTTTATTTGGATGAGATCCAATTTGTTTATTTTTTCCTTTATATTCCTTGCTCTAGGGGACATATCAATAAAAATGTTGCTGAATGAAATATCTGAGATTTTCTTGCCAATGTTCTCTTCTAGGACTTAATTGGTGTCACGGCTTATATTTAAGTCTTTTATCCACCTTGAATTTATTTTGGTGTGTGGTGTAAGTTGGTGCTCAAGTTTCACTGTTTTACACATAGATGTCCAGTTCTCCCAGCACCCTTTGTTGAAGAGGCTATCTTTACTCCATTTTATGTTACTGCCCCCTTTGTCGAATATTAATTGACCATAGAGGGTTGGGTTGATTTCTGGGCTCTCTGTTCTGTTCCATTGGTCTATGTGCCTGTTTTTATGCCAGCACCAGGGTGTTTTGATTACAGTGGCCTTGTAATACAGTTTGATATCAGGTATTGTGATCCCTCCTACTTTGTTCTTCTTTCTCAAAAGTGCAGCTGCTATTCAGGGTTGTTTATGGTTCCATATATTTTTTGAAGTGTTTGTTCTATGTCTGTGAAATATGCCATTGGTACTTTAATAGGGATTGCATTGAATGTGTATATTGCTTTGGGTAGTATGGACATTTTGATGATGTTAATTCTTCCAATCCATGAACATGGTATATGTTTCTATTTGTTTGTGTCTTCCCTGATTTCTTTCTTCAGTGCTGTGTAGTTTTCTGCATACAGGTCTTTTACCTCCTTGGTTAGGTTTATTTTCAGATATTTTATTTTTGCTTTTGCTATATCGAATGGGATTTTTTCCCTTGATTTCTGCTTCTGCTGATTCATTGTTAGTATACCAAAATGCCTTTGATTTCTGGATATTGACTTTGTATCCTGCTCTTTTGCCAAAATCATTAATTAGTTTGAGCAGTTTTTTGGTAGAGTCTATAGGATTTTCCATGTACACTATCATGTCATCTGCAAACAGTGACAGTTTTGTTTCCTCCTTTCCTATTTGGATGCATTTTATTTCCTTTTCTTGCCTGATCACTGTGGCTAAAACTTCCAATACTATATTGAATAGAAGTGGTGAAAGTGGACATCCTTGTCTTGTTCCTGATCTTAGTGGAAAAGCTTTTAGTTATTCCCCATTGAGTATGATATTGGGTGTAGGTCTCTCATATATGGCCTTCATTATATTGAGGAATGCTCCCTCTATTCCCACTTTGCTGAGTGTTTTTATCATAAATGGGTGTTGTACCTTATCAAAAGCTTTTTCCACGTCTATTGATATGATCGTGTGGTTTTTGTCTTTGCTTTTGTTTATGTGATGTATTACATTTACTGATTTGCGAATATTGAACCATCCTTGCATCCCTGGGATGAATCCCACTTGGTCATGGTGTATGATCTTTTTGATATATGGTTGGATGTGATTTGCCAATATTTTGTTGAGTATTTTAGCGTTTATGTTCATCAGTGATATTGGCCTGAAGTTCTCTTTCTTTGTTGTGTCTCTATCTGGTTTTGGAACTAGAATGATGCTGGCTTCATAAAAAGAATTTCGGAGTTTTCCATCCTTCTGGATTTTTTAGAATAGTCTGTGGAGAATAGGGGTTTGCTCTTCCTTAAATGTTTTCTAGAATTCTACTGTGAAACCATCTGGTTCAGGGCTTTTGTGTGATGGGAGTTTTTTGATTACTGCTTCAATTTCTTTTGCTGTTTTTGGTGTGTTTAGATTTTCTGCTCCTTTTTCATTGAGTTTTGGAAGATTATATTTTTCTAGAAATGTGTTCATTTTCCCTAGGTTTTCAAAATTTTTGGCATACAGTTCTTCATAGTAATTTCTTACAATCCCTCCTATTTCTGTGGTATCAGTTGGAATCTCTCCTCTTTCATTTGTTTTTTAAATATATTTTATTGATTATGCCATTACAGTTGTGTTATTCCCTCCCCTTCATTCCCCTCCACCCTGCACACCCCCTCCCCCCGTGCCCCCCTTTAGTTTATGACCACTTGTCTCAAGTTCTTTAGATTCTATATTTTCCCTACTATTCTTACCCTCCCCCTATCTATTTCCTACCTACCGTCTATGCTACTTATTTTCTGTACCTTCTCCCCCTTTCTCCTCCTCCCACTCCCCTGTTGCTAACCCTTCATGTGATCTTCATTTCTATGGTTTGCTCCTGATCTCGCTGTCCTCTTAGTTTGCTTTTGTTTTAGGTGTGGTTGTTAATAACTGTCAGTTTGCTGTCCTTTCACTGTTCATATTTTTTATCTTCTTGTTCTTAGATAAGTCCCTTAACATTTTATATAATAAGGGCTTGGTGAGGATGAACTCCTTGAATTTGATCTTATCTGAGAAGCACTTTATCTGCCCTTCCATTCTAAATGAAAGCTTTGCTGGATAAAGCAATCTTGGATGTAGGTCTTTGCCTTTCATGACTTGGAATACTTCTTTCCAGCCCCTTCTTGCCTGTAAGGGCTCTTTTGACAAATCCGCTGACAGTCTGATGGGAACTCCTTTGTAGGTGACTATTCCCTTATCTCTTGCTGCTTCTAGAATTCTCTCATTCATCTTAATCTTGGCTAATATAATTATGATGTGCCTTGGCGTGTTCCTTCTTGGGTCCAACTTCTTTGGGAGTCTGTGAGCTTCCGGGATTTCCTGGGAGTCTATTTCCTTTGCCAGATTGGGGAAATTCTCTTTTATTATTTGTTCAAATAAGTTTTCCACTCGTGGCTCTTACTCTTCCCCTTCTGGCACCCCTATAATTCTGATGTTGGAATGTTTAAAGATGTCCTGGAGGTTCGTAAGCCTTTCCTCATTTTTTAAAATTCTTATTTCTACATTCTTTTCTGTTTGGTCATTTTTTCTACTTTCTGGTCCACTCCTTTGATTTGAGTCCCAATTTCTTTTCCCTCACTATTGGTTTCCTGTGCATTTCCCTTCATTTCAATTAGCTTAGCCTTCATATTTTCCTCTGATTTGTGACTAAAATCAAACAGTTCTGTGAGCATCCTGATCACCAGTGTTTTAAAGTGTGCTTCTGAAAGTTTGGCTATTTCTTCATTGCTTAGATTTATGGGCTCTGGGGCTTTGAGATCTTCTTGAGCCATTTTTAGTCTGTTTGCACCGGTTAATTATGAGGAGTGGAGCCTTAAATGTTCACCAGGGCGGGGCCATGGAGGTCACTGGTTTGTGTTGCTGTAGGTGGGGGCAGGTCAGAGAGAGGCCACCCATGTCGCTGCTTTGTGACGCTGTCGTGGGGGCAGGGTCAGAGAGAAACAATGGTGGTCCCCTCTGCCACTTCCTGCCACTGGGGCCTGCAAGGTCTGTCTCACTGCTCCCTCCTTCACCAGTTTATCGGTTTGGCTGAAGGGTTCGTTGTTATGAGACTTATGTGAAGTTCAATTTTCTGTGGTTTTGGCTGCGTTTTTGTTGCTAAAACTTTGTTATTTTTAAACGTGTTTGTGGGAGGAGGCACAGTGCTTCCCACTATGCCTCCATCTTGGCAGAAGTCGATGCCCTCTTTCATTTCTGTTTGTGGTTATTTGTGTCTCCTCTCTTCTTTTCTGGATGAGCCTACTTAAAGGCTTGTTTATTTTGTTTATCTTCTCAAAGAACCAACTCCTGGATACATTGATCCTTAAAATTGTGCTTTTAGTTTCTATGTCATTTAATTCTGCTCTCATCTTGGTTATGTCCTTCCTTCTGTTTGCTCTGGGCTGTCTTTGTTGTTCCTCCAGTTCTTGCAGGCGTAGGGTTAGGTTGTTTGTTTGAGCTGTTTCTATCTTCTTTAGGTAGGCCTGTATTGCTATCAACTTCCCTCCCAGGACTGCCTTCACTGTGTCCCATAAGTTTTGGGTTGTTGTGAGATCATTTTCATTTGTTTCCAGAAATGTTTTGATTTCTTCCCTAATTTCATTGTTGACCCATTCATTGTTTAATAGCATACCATTCAGTCTCCATGATTTTGGGTGCTTTGAATTTTTTCCTTTGGGATTGATTTTCTATTTCAGTCCCTTGTGGTCAGAGAAGATGCTTTGTATGATTTCAATTTTCTTGAATTTTTTGAGGCTCGTCTTGTGTCCTATCATGTGGTCTATCTTTGAAAATGTTCCATGTCCATTTGAAAAGAATGTTTATTTAGCTTCTTTGGGATGAAGGGCTCTATATATATCAGTTAAGTCCATTTCATCTAAGGTGTTGTTTAATGACACAATATCTTTGTTGATATTTTTTTGGAAGATCTGTCCATTTTTGACAGTGGGGTGTTAAAATGCTGTACTATAATTATGTTGCTGTCAATATCTTTCTTGAAGTCCTCTAAGGTTTTCTTGATATATTTGGGTGCCTCTATGTTTGGTGCATATATGTTGACAAAGTTAATGTCTTCTTGGTTGATTCTTCCCTTGAGTATTATGAAGTGACCTTCTGGGTCTCTCTTTATGGACCTTTTTTTGAAGTCTATTTTGTCTGATATGAGAATTGCTACCCCAGCTTTTTTTTTTCTTGTCCATTTGCATGGAAAACTTGTTCCCAGCCATTCACTTTTAGTCTGTGATGGTCTTTTGTCCTGAGGTGGGTCTCTTGTAGGCAGTATATTTGTGGGTCATGCTTTCTTATCCATTGAGCTATTCTGTGTCTTTTGATTGGCGCATTTAATCCATTTAGGTTTAAGGATATTATTGATAGGTACTTATTCATTGCTATTTTTGTATCTGTTCCTCTCTGTCTTTCTCTATTCCTTCTTTTCCTTAAAGCAGTCCTTATAGTATTTCTTGTAGAGCTGGTTTGGTGGATGCATATTCTTTTAGACTTCTTTTGTCTTGGAAGCTCTTTATTTGGCCTTCTATCTTGATTTAGAGCCTTGCTGGGTAAAGTAGCCTTGGGTGTAGGCCTCTGGTTCTCATTACTTGGAATATTTCTTGCCATTCTCTTCTTGTTTGGAGTGTTTCCAATGAGAAGTCAGTAGCTAACCTTATTGGGGCTCCCTTGTATGTTAGTTCTTTTTTCTCCCTTGCTGCCTTGAAGATTCTCTCTTTGTTTTGGAATTTTTCCATTTTGATGATGATGTGTCTTGGAGTGGGCCACCTTGGGTTCCTCTTTATTGGGACTCTGTTTGATTCCTGGATTTGTGTGACTTTTTCTCTCATCAAATTAGGGAAATTTTCTCTCATTACTCTTTCAAATACATTTTCTATCCCTTGTTCTTCTTCTTCTACTTCTGGTATTCTTATTATTCGGATATTATTATGTTTCATATTATCTTGCATTTCTCTTAATCCCTCTTCATTCTTTCTGAGCCTCTTCATTTTCTTGCTCTTTCTGTGAGATGCTTTCTACTTTGTCCTCCAACTCACTAATCTGATCCAGTGCCTTATGTATTCTACTTTTGAAACTTTCTACTGTGCTCTCCAAGTTGGAAATTATATTCTTTATTTCCTCTTGTCCCTTGCTGATATTTTCTGTTTCCTTTTTCATGTTGCTGTAGTTTGCAGAGAGATCATTGTAGTTCCCCTGTAGTTTCTGATAGCTCATTGTGAGCTCTTTGAACTTTGTAATAACCAGTGCTTTGAATTCACTATCTGATAGTTGATTAGCCTCTATTTTATCTAACATTCCTTCTGAAGTTTTTGCTTTTCCTTTCATTTGGGGATTGTTTATTTGTCTTCCCATTGTTTGAGACTTTTCTTGTTAGTCTCAGCTTCTAAAATTGATCATTTCTGACTCCCTGGGTTTATGGTGTGAACTTCTGTGGTATAATACCTGTGAATTTCAGTGGTGCAGACTCCTTCAGTTATCTTGATGTCCTCCATCTCCACCTACTCTCATGCTGGTCCTTGCACTGGTCCCCGCGCTGGTCACCTACTACTGCTGAGTGTCCCGGCTCCCGTAGTCAACTCCTCCAGGGGACTGGGTTTCTGTCAACAATATTTCTAGGAGGTACTGAGGCCCGCAGGAGAGTGCACACCCAAATCCGTGGGCCAGCAGATGCCCGTCACGCCCCAGTGGAGGATACCCAGAGCTTATGCCTTATCCTAACTCTTAAAGAAAATTATTCTCAACCTGGAGCATTCAACATGCCCATTTTCTCCATATCCTGAATGGCAGTTATACTGAGCTCTTGGCTTTCAGCACTTCATAAGCATGCATTGGATGGAGTGGGTGTGAGGAAACTCTTGTACTGTTTCATACATTACTGGGTTTGGTGACTTCCAGCAATTCTCACTCTCTTTTTCCCCAGTGTCCTCATCTATTTAGGTATTGTCCAAATTCCCTTCCCATTCTGATAGGCCCTGCTTTTTAGACTACTCTTATCTTCAGCAAGAAGATAGAATAAAGCATAATTTGGAGAGAATCATTCAACTTTTAAATAGAACAGTTAACATTTCTAGTTTCTAAAGAGAAATGCTAACTTTACTCTTAATAATTAGAATGAAAATTTAAAATACTTGATTGAAATAAGAGCCAATTAATCTACTAATATGAACAAATTCTTTTGAAAAGGTTAGGAGGTTTATAGAATGGTTGTGTTTTCTGGATGTGATAAGACTTTTGCTGTCTAATAGTTTCACAGTGATTTCCCTGTATTAAAACTACAGGTGATTTTAGTCCTCTTAGAACTGAATTTATTTTGGTGTTTAGGAAGCCATTACCATTACTAGAGACTTTGATCTAGGTTAAAGATCATGTATCACAAAAGGCTGACCACTCAAAAGAGACTTAAATTTAGTGGAATTATGTCTATAAATGATTCTTTGGGAAGATCCAGAAAATTAATAAAGAATTATGACTGCATCTTTTATTGCAGTTGAGCCTTCATAAAGCTGTGTCAAAAATCAAGATGTTTTTATTTCTTGTTTAAAAACATTGACCAGAAACTTCCTATGAGGTCTAAAAATTGCATTACACTGTTCTGTCTTAATATGTATTAAATGGTACACCTAGAGCAGAACTCAGAAGTGCTATATGGAAAAGAACTTGCTATTCCACAGGGGAGCTGTGACTTTTCTTTTGTAATGAGCTCATGATTTTTCACATTTATATTACATGCTTTAATATTGAAAATTTAGGCAATGGCTTAAAATATTAAGCAAATATTATAGCACCAATTGGTATTAAACTAATAATGGGCTTTTTTTTTCTTTTTAAACTTTTAGGTAACGTTTGATCCAGAGGTCTTTTTCAACATTTTGCTGCCTCCAATTATTTTCCATGCTGGATATAGTTTAAAGAAGGTAAAAAAAATTGCAAATATTTCCTTTTCTTCAAGCTTAAAAATAATTATAAATTATCCACAGATAATAACAACATAATGACATTCTTGGGTGAATTATCATAAAACAAAAACTTTGTATAGTTGAAAGAAGAAGTATAAACACATTCCAAAATAATGCTCATGATGGTATGTGTGTGTGGTATATACAGCTAATGCCATCAGTGGGTCTACCTTTACCAATAACTTCATGGAAACTATGGAAGGAATTCCCATGGCAAACAGATTTCCTGCTGGTTGACCTTTTAATAGTGTTATTGCTTAGTTTAAAGTTTTATTTTCTCTTGAGTGGTAGAAAGGCTTTAAATTATGTAGGCAGTCTGATGTTTTTGACCATTGTTTCTTAAAGTATGGGAATCTCTGTGTTAATTTACCTGTATAATTTTCTAGTTTTTTCCATCTCCAAGATTGCTTATTACTCTGTTCTGTACTCACTCAGACACTATAGTTGACTCATCATCAGTGATTCATTTCTGTTTTAAAATCTGGGACTCTCATACATTGCCAGTGGGAATATAAAGTGGCAGAGCCACTCTGAGAAAGTTTTCCAGTTTCTTGTAAAACTAAAGTTGGAATTCCCATATTCCCCAGCAGTTTTATTCCTGAGCATTTATCCCAGAGAAATGAAAACTTAGGTTCACGCAAAAACTTGTACATGATTGTTCATAGCAACTTTATTTGTAATAGCCCAAAACTGGAAACAGTTAAAATGTCCTACAATAGGTGAATGGTTAAAGGAACATCCATACCATGGAATACTACTCACCAATAAAATGCAACAAACTATTCAAACATACAACTATCTGGATGAATCTGAAAGACATTATGCTGAGTGAAAAAATCTATTCACAAGAGGTCATGTACTATATTATATCATTTATGTAGCATTCTAGAAATGACAAAATATAGGAATGGAGAACAGATTAGTGGTTTCCAGGGATTAAGAATGCAGGAGTGAGCCCTGGCTGGTGTGGCTCAATGGATTGAGTGCTGGCCTGTGAACCAAAGGGTCACTGGTTCGATTCCCAGTCAGGGCACCTGCCTGGCTTGCAGGCCTGGTCCCCAGTGGTGGTTGCACGAGAGACAACCACTTATTTTTTTTATTTAGTTATTTTTCAAGTACAGTTTTTTTGTCTATTTCTCCCATCCCAGCTCCCCCCGCCCTGTCTCCCCACCTCCCTCCCATTTCCACCCCCCAGTCCTCATACCCGTGTCCTTCATACTTGTTCCTCAAAATCCCTCCTCATTTTTCCCCTTAAATTCCCTTCCCTCTCCCCTCTGGTCGCTGCCCACTTGTTCTCTATTTCAGTGTCTTTGTTTTTATTCTGCTTGCTTGTTTGTCTTGTTGTTTAGCTCCCTGTCAAAAGTGAGATCATATGGTATTTGTCCTTCAATGCCTGGCCTATTTCACTCAGCATAATGCTTTCCAGTTCCATCCATGTTGTTGCAAAGGGTAGGAGCTCCTTCTTTCTCTCTGCTGCATAGAATTCCATGGTGTATATGTACCACTATTTTTTGATCCATTCATTTACTGATGGGCACCTAGGTTGCTTCCAGCTCTTGGCTATTGTAAATTGTGCTGCTATGAACATTGTGGTGCATAGGTTCTTTGAAATTGATGTTTTAGGATTCTTGGGATATAATCCTAGCAATGGAATTGGTGGGTCAAAAGGCAGGTCGATTTTTATTTTTCTGAGAAAATTCCATACTATTTTCCATAATGGTTGTACCAGTCTGCAATCCCACCAACAGTGAACTAAGGTCCCCTTTTCCCCACAACCTCTCCAACATTTGTTTGTTGCTTTGTTTATGATAGTCATCCTGACTGGTGTAAAGTGGTATCTCATTGTGGTTTTAATGTGCATATCTCTGATAGCTAATGATATTGATCATCTCTTCATGTGTCTCTGGATCTTCTGTATGTCCTCCTTGGAGAAGTGTCTGTTCAAGTCCTTTTCCCATTTTTTAATTGGGTTTGATGTCTTCCTAGAGTGGAGTAGTGTAAGTTCTTTGTATATTTTGGAGATTAAACCTTTGAGACAACCACTTACTGATGTTTCTCTCACTCTCTTTCTCCTTCCCTTCCCCTCTCTCTAAAAATAAATAAATAAAACTTTGAGAAAAAAAGAATGCCGAAGCAAGAGGGGGATGAGTATGACCACAAAGGGTCATGAAGGGTCATACTCATGAAGGAGATTTTTGTGTTGTTAGAACTGTTCTGTATCTTTTTTTTTATCCTCACCCAAGGACATGCTCATGGATTCAGAGAGAGGGGAGGGGGAAGAGAGAATGGGAGAAAAATATTGATATAAGAGAGAAACATCAGTCGCCTGTCTCACATGCGCCCTGACTGGGGACTAAGCCAATAACCTAGGCATGTGTACTAATGGGAATTGAACCAGTGACTTTTTGGTTTATGGGACAATGCTGCAACCAACTGGTTCCCACTGGCCAGGGAAGACTGTTCTATATCTTGATTGCAGTGGAGCTTACATGAATCTGTACATGCAAAAAAAAAGGACATAGAACTACACACATGCATTGTACCAATGTCATTTTCCTGGTTTTAATGTGTACTACACAGATAACCAGAGGAGAAAATGGGATCTTTCTGTACTAGCTTTGCAACTTTTGTGAATCTATAATTACCCCAAAATAAAAAATTTAAAGAAATTCATCCTGATTATTGAGAGTCATTGTGCTTAGTAGCAAAGTGGGGCCTAAGCCCCTAATTATTTAAAATACTGAATGCCTTTTCAGATAGTGTTAGTGGCTCCTTTCCTCCCCCATTGTGGGGGTATTCTGTGAAAATATAGCTTCCTAAAAGGACTTCCTCCCTCAAAGGCGGAACTTGGTTCAGCTGTCTTTCTGAATAGGGTCTAAAGGAAACTTTTTCGGTGAACCTAGAGAAGAGAAATTTTGTCTGCCAGTAAAACTCAATAACATCCTGAGGAACTTGGGTATGTCTTTTAAATTGATAAACCTCTAGATATATCAATCCAGAAAAAAGAAACAAACTACCTATATGAGGAATGAAAGGTGGGACATCACTGCAGGCCCTTTAGACATTAAAAGGACAATAGTGGAATACTACAAACAACTTTGTAGAATTAAATGTGATAACACAGGTGAAACGGACAAATTCCTTGAGTGATACAAATTACCAAAACTGACTGAGAAGAGATGGAAAACTTGAATAACCCCATATTGATTAAAGAAATTGAGGTCATGATTTAAAACCCTTCCACACACCCAGATGGCTTCACTGGTCAATTTTTTTCTAGCAATTAATGAAGAAATAATACTAGTTTTATACAAACTCTTTCAGAAGATAGAGGAGGGAACATTTCCAACTCATTTTATGAGAAAATACCTGTCTATTAGGCTTGTTCTTTTGTCAAAACAACTCTGCAGTTGTCAGAGGTTTATAAACTATTTCCAACCAATATAAATACAGTTATTCTTTATGGACCATCTAACACAAACTCGATTAAGAATGTGAGGATAATAGATTAGCTTCCACCCCTTCTCCCTCAGGTTTCCAACTCATTGATAATCAGACACAAGAAGCTAACTGGCAATTGAATGATCCATTTATGACCCAAAGTTCCTGGTAACACATTTTGGATGATGTAGTTTAGTCCTTAGTTTTAGAGCTCCTTGCTATACATCATGAATTGAAGACAGATACCCTTTAGCTCCCATGTCAGTCACAGTCACAGGTGTGGAGGCTGAAATGGAGAGATCCTAGAAATTGCTGGAACCACTAAAGGCAGCCTCTTTTGCTTACAGAATGGAGACTAGAAGGGCAAGAACAATTTCCCACTTTGCACAAGAGGTTCAAGACTGCAAGTCAGGGTCAAGCCAGTCTTCCCCTTCAGAGTTCAAAGGACTATTTCTTACTGTATTACCTTTGAGGGAGGGGTGATGAAACATAAGTCCCCTTTGCACTATGGATGCTTGAGGAGTGGGAGGCTGCATTTCGGCACACAAGCCCCACATACATTTTGTTTTCCATACATGTACAGAGTATCTTGCATTTTACTGAAAATCAACCTAAACTCAGAGTTATTAAGTGACATCTGTGAGGTTACATAGCAGGACTGGACAAGGTTATAGCCTCTTTGTCTGATGCCAGGGCAAAGTGTGTTCATCTGTGCTACACTCCTTCTGGATTTATGTTTTGTGTATAAAAAATAATTATTTTTTCTGACTAATCTATTGGATTGCCAAAGTCATTTGAATCTATATTGACAGATAACAGATATGAGATGATTTTATAGATATGAATAATGTTATTTTTTATCTAAATGAAGAATTTGGGAACTCCTCTTAAGATCAAATGGGGGGACTTCTGGTCAAGATGGAGGCATAGGTGAACATGGCTTGCCTCCACACAACCACAGCAAATATTTCAAGTAGACTACAAAACAAGTATCACCCAAAATCATCAGAAAATTGAGCTGTATGGAAGTCCAACAACCAAGGAATTAAAGAGGCCACATTAATTCAAATGGGTAGGGTGGGCAAAGATATGGAATGCACAGAGAGGTGCGGAGGTGAGGAGACACAGAATAGGTGGACCCACACCCATATGTAGTGGATAAAAATTGAGAGGGATACCTTGAGACTGAGGGATTCCAGCTCCACACCAGACCACCCAGCCCAGGGTATCACCTCCAGGAAGATAAGTCCCCATGACTTCTGGCTGTAAAAAACAGTGGAGTTTGGGGCAGCAGAAGAAACTGTGGGATTCTAAGAAACTCCTCTTAAAGAGCCCACAATAGACTTAGGACTTATATAAACTCACTTCCTCTGGGTTTCAACACCAGCACATCAGTTTGAAGGCCACTAGTAGCATACAGAGAGTAATTGAAGTGTTTGGTATCAGGGCATGTGCTGGGGAACAGTACCCTCCCAGAAAAAACTCCAGAGGGCAGGCAGTGGCCATTGTAACTTTGC